AAAACAAAATGACCCCGGATACTGACTTAATTATAGAGGTCAAATATATTTCAGACTTTAAACTTCTATTTTGCATTAGGAAATAGTTCGTGCAATCTGTGGAGCAGCATGTTTGCTTGAGGAATTGACATTCAAGTTTATTGGAATCTGAATATTTCAGTCCTATGTTCTTTTCACTGCGGTTCCTCTTGTAGTGGTGGTGAAGAATGTTAGAATTTACATAGAATACTAAAGAAAGGAAAACTTTTGTTAAAGACTGGCATATTTTTCTTCAAAACCAACCGTCGTCTATCGTATGTCTAAGAGAATTGTAAGGGCGATTTAGCTTAAACTATTTTTGTAATTCAACTGTGCTAGGAATAAATGGATTTATGTGGACCGATATAGTGACTAAAGATGATCGTGAGGGGCTACTGGCCATTTGTTTGCATCTCTTTTCCGTATAATGAAAAGAATTAATATTAATTTACAATGAAATATTGGTTATTATCTGTTTACAGAGTCTACATGACTTGACAAATCCAAGCGTAACTACATCAACAGCAGGATGTTCCACTGGGGGACAGGCATCTGCAACATTTAAAGCATCAGATATTCCTGCAGAAGGGAATCTTTATTGTAGATGTGGTATGCAGAATGCCTGTCCAGAAAAAGCTGAAATTGTCAGTAATAATATTTATGTAACATAATCCATGTACGAGGACACAACTCTGTTCTTAATGTAGCATAAAAGGGGGGTATTCGTATCTCTGACTATTTTGAGGAAATATAAAGATTTTGAACTCTTTTGTCATGGAGGTATTTGCATATACATTGTTTAAACGGAAATGGATTTTTTTTTAAATTTTCAGCCCTTGCCTTAGATTGTCTTGAAATTCAGAGGGTGAACAAGTTTTTTTGTTGTTTTTTTTGTTTGTTGTTTTGTTTTTTGTTTTTTTTTTGTTTTTTTTTTTTGTTTTTTTTTCATTTTTTAATTAATGCAGTGGAAGATATTGATTCTAAAAGTCTAATAGATTATTGAGGTACGCTTATATTCGTTTCCGCTTTTCGGATTGATGGATAGCAACGTCAAGCATGCATATATATATGTGTATCTGCAAACAATTAGACGGACGAGATCAAAAGTTATGAATATATCTATGTGTATCGAAATATTCTTTATTGATCAGTAAAGTATTTTCGACACCATTTATATATTGCACAAGGTAAATGTTTGTAAGGAGTTAAGAAAATATCTATACAATACTTATGTTTACATATTTTTATTGATCTTTCTCCCTAATTATCTGCCGACTAACAGACGAGGTTTTTAACATGTGACCTGATTTCATGAAAATCTTCATCCATAGCATTGTAAAATAATATGAATTATTCTAGTACAATGAGTATTTGTCATTGATAATCATCAGAATCGGAGGATGACAAGTTATGTTTTGATAGTAGATCCATTTCCTCGCTTTAGTTATAAAAAACAGCAATGTGTTGGCCCTAGTGTATCAGATACATTACGCTTGGCGCCATCTGTGTATGTGTATCTCAGACTTCGTTTTCGCTACCACCTCGCTGTCACAATTTCAATAAAATGGAAATTTTTACCGTCGTTGTTTTATTTTCTGTTTTTTATGTTAGGTTACACTGCAATAAACTTTATATTTTTTAGAAATTCTGTTCATAATCCTTAAATCTTCATCTATTGTAAAGCAGTTTTGTCATCTTGCGATGGATAACAAGGACCAGAAATATGTCTATCACGATCATGCAAATTTATTTATTTTCTAGTGAAGCAGATATGACAAAAATATCAACAAAAGTGTGATATGAAGCTGGACGTGTTTGATGCTCTTTTGTTTGTCTGTTGGTTAAGTTGTGTGATATGAAGCTGGACGTGTTTGATGTTCATTAGTTTGTCTGTTAGTTCCGTTGTGAGATATGAAGTTGGAAGTATTTGATGTTCGTTAGTTTGTCTGCTGGTTCCGTTGTGTGATATGAAGCTGGACGTGTTTGATGTTCGTTAGATTGTCTGTTGGTTCCGTTGTGAGATTTGAAGCTGGAAGTATTTTAATCCTGCTGCATTGTCCTTCTAGGACTCGTCAGTGATGTTACATCATACAGCTGTCTTGTCCTTCTAGAACTCGTTAGTGATGTTACAACATACAGCTGTCTAGTCATTTTAGATCTCATCAGTGATGTTACATCATACAGCTGTTTCGTCCTTCTAGAACTCATCAGTGATGTTACATCATACAACTGTTTCGTCCTTCTACGACTCGTCAGTGACGTTACATCGTACATCTGTCTGATTCTTCTAGAACTCATCAGTAATGTTACATCATACAGCTGTTTCGTCCTTCTAGAACTCATCAGTGATGATGCATCATACAATTGTTTCGTCCTTCTAGGATTCATCACAGATGAGAAGAGACAAAATGTTGAAGCATAGAAAGCAACCGAGGAAAGGTCAAAATCTAGATAGACGATTGTCAGTTTCCAGGCAGATTTCCATTTCGGTTTCAGATTCTCTTTAAATCAATACACAGATTTACATATATATTTTATATAGAAATTCGCTTCTGGAACGTTTCATAACATTGTTTTTTTAGTTTTTATCACTTATATTAGATACTTATTATAAATCGAATTAGTTATAGTACAAAACAAAACGGCTGAAACCTAGTTTTATTAAGCTTGTATAACATAACTAAATATTTAATTTCCTGAATCACTTATTCTGATATCTATATATCTTAATATTATTAGCTCAACAATTCAATGATAGAATCAACCTTGTCATCATCATTCACAAAGTGGGATCTGTATGAACTCTCTAGGTTAATCCATAAGATATATTTCATAGATAGCAACATTTCTGAGTTATTTAGTAGTACAGTTGTCCCCAGCGTTTTCAATATGATCACAATCGGAGTATCCCCATCCAGTATATGGGCATTCCGTGATCATTTGTTCAGTTCCTATACATTTTATATCATACATCCCTATAGGCAACCCATCTTCACAATACAGTACTCCTGGGCTATTAAGAGCTTTTCCTGTCCTGCAACGATACAAACAAAGCCTCATTAAATCCTATTAAATGTATTCAATCAGGACGAAATACATACAATAAAGTGTCTAGATATCACAGGTATAAGGAACTCCGTACATGTAAAACTTGTTTGGTATAATGTGTCTTCTTTAAGCATACCATGGAATTCGCTGATTTATGAATCTTGACATACGATGTTAAAAGTCACATGATAATTGTGATATAACCGGAAAAAATGGAAATATTTGTAACATTCATGTATCTAAACATTTGGCAAGGCATGATTCTTTCATAGGCACGATTTTCGCTTATATAGGTAAATTGACAAACAGTGGTAAGTATTATATGATAACTAATTACCTCTCAATATATATCAATCCTGGTTGTATTAAAACAGTATAATTACACACACTACGTGCAGTTTTCAGTTTTCCAATGATATCACTATGACGATCATAAATATTCTGATAACTTTCATTTGTTTGTGCGTCAGTTGACAACTTCGTGAACTCTCCCTCCCCTCTCTCTGTGTGTCTCTCCCCCCACCCTCTCACTCTCTTTCTCTCTTCTTTTCCTTTTTCATCAGTTGTTGATGATTTGTGGCAGCTATCATTTATCTATATCAGCATGTTGTGAAATATTATGTGTCATCATCAATTCTGTTGATGGGTAAGAAATATGTTTATAGTCTATTTGATATGTTGAAGGTAAGCATCCGATGTTGTCAGTGTAACTTTTTTTAAGTCATAAATTCAATATGGCTGCCATGATTGATGTTGAAACATTTAAAAAAAGTAATATCTAGTAAATCGTCGATTGTGTAATTATATCATTTTTCATAACTTTCTTTTCATTGTAAAGGTAATTACAAATAAATATCAAATAAAAAGGATCGCTGTTGAGTCAAAAGTCATTGAACTCATTTGATAGTAAAAAATGCCGACGATTCCATACCATTTAGTGACATTCAAGTTTTAACAGGGAAACAAAATGGTAGTCATCACGCCATATCCTATTTAACATAAATTGCCTCATTAACAGCTGAGTGAATTGAATTCTTCATTTGATATGTGATGTAAGACAACAAATGAATGACATTTCTTGAGATTTTATTTTTTTCAAAATATTTACTTCCGGACTTCGGTCAGTGTTGAAATTGTGTAGTTTGTGAATATATTTGTTTTCTGAATGTCCACAAGACCTAAAATCTAGATATCTACATTTAAGGAGTTCTATTTTTCAAAAGTTTCTATTTCAATTTAGTTTCAGACAATTTTATTGGTGCATCAATACATATATGGCATCTTCCACATCAAACATCACAGTGGTACAGAACATAATCAACGTGCAAGACAGTACAAATATATCATATTATTTATAGTCTAGGTTTACTGCTTGTCTTTACACAGTGATCTGAAACTGAACATATTAAATCATTATCATTTTTTATAAGAAAGGATTCAATTTCACTTAGGTTTCAGATAATTTTACTGGCATCTGTGTACATATATGACATTTCCACACCTAATATCACAGTTGTACCAGACAAAATCAACTTACAGCAGAGTCATTATATAATGATAATTAGCAATACAACACAACTCCGATCTACCTGAATGTGATTTATTTTCAAACAGCATTGTTGCATTTATTAAATTTTTTACTATGATCCACAATGTATATCATTACCATTAATTAAGATATTTACAAATATTTTCTGATATTAATCTCCATCACCTCAACAGATAAAGGCCGATATCCCAGTTCGACGTTTACAAACAAAATCTGAATGCATAATTACAAAAGTTGTTAATAGAAATCTGATTTCATGTTTGTAAATTAACGGAACAGTCCAAACTTCCTCACAGTAAAATTGCCCATTTCATCGTAAAAACTCGCTTAGAAAATATGATGATTCAATTATCAGTCGCGTTATCTTGTTCATTCAAAGTAAAGGTTAATTGTTTCCAAAATACGTGGAAATTATTCCTTCGACAGCCTCCAAACAGTATTCGGACCAGGCATCAGACGTACGCTTCGAGTAGGAGCCAGACGCGATGAAGATATTATCCACAGCTGATGGTTTGTGAATTGTTCTCCAAACTGTTTCCTTATCGACTCCAGTTTTCGATGTACTGAAGGCCTCCTTATATGGATACTGATCCCAGTGTGATATCACTCCAGCAGTCGGTGTCGGGATTACTGTCATGTTAATGTTGTAAAGCTTTGCCAGGTACATGTGGGCGTGTCTGACAACCTCTGTTGACACGCTGTGATGTCCAAGATTGAGTTTTTCGCCATTTTTCTGTAACTCACTCCACAAGTCATGCACTGAATACGCTGCCAACAAAACAGCTCGGCCTGTCCTGTTAGAAATACCAAAATCTAAGGTCATATCAATTGGGAGATCTGATATCAAAGTTGGGCGTATATGTTCATCGTACCTGTTATCAATATAACCAGAATGTAGAATATCATAGTAATTAGAATATTGATTTTTGAGCTTGGGGCATTTATGAAGACTGTCGTATGAATTCAAGCTATCAATGTCTGATTTGATTAGATGGTCTCTCCACCAAGGGTAGTCATACAGCAAGAACACTTTAACACCAACATGGTAGTTCAAAGTTTTTAAAGTTGAAAGAATATGTCGCTGTTGTAACGTTTCCCAGTTAATCTGAAGCAAAGCTGGTGGCGGGACAGTCAATATAACTCGCTGGCTACAGACACTGATAAATTGGCTGGTCGGACTTGTTTTTCCGTCACTCGTTACAGTCTTCATGAATCCTAGGGTATAGCCATCAACAGAGTTCCGGGTGATACTGATCAGTTGATGGTTTGTGCGTACACTATGATTTCTGCAGTTATAAACAATTAAGGTAAATTTATACATTTTTTTTAAACTTTCAAATTCACTAAACTGTATTTAAACACACAAATTACTTAAGTGTCGAGACATGTTTCGTCTTTATCTATCTAGATATTGTTTCAAACATTACATATGTATACAAGTCCTTAATTGTGTAATATAAAGCATGGTGTAACTCGATGTAATTTTAAGTAATAATATTGCGAGGTACACCATACATCTATATGCCCGAGTTGAGAATGTGACTATGGTTAAACAGTCGCTATTATTTACCTCATATGCCTATGTCCCGAAAACATGCTATTGACCTTAGAGAGCTGAAAATTTTTACTAATTTTTACGTTTTCTGTGGCTATATATTCATACATGGCTATTCAAATACTCATTGTTAGAGTATCCACTGGATGAGACCATCGTCTAACGTTAAGTTTATCTGTGATAAATACAGCGATACAAGTCGATATCTGCTACATCCAAGTGGTTCATTGCTTATATCTATTATATATACTCAACAAAAAAAGAAAGGTTAGGACTTAGAAATCACCGAATCTTGCTATCTATCAACTTTATCATTATGCACCGGCTGTCACAAGTACAGAGAGAAAGGGCTGTAGGCATGATCCAGGCTGGGGAGTCTCGCCGTGGAGTTGCACGGCATTTTGGTTGCAGTGTTAAGACAATTTTCCAGTTGGTAAGTCGTTTAAACCAAACTGGGTTAACATCCGATCGTCCCCGAAGCGGCCGACCCCGTAAAACGACCGCCAGGGATGACCCTCGTATACGATTGATACACTTGCGCAATCGATTCGTAACCGCAATAGAGACTACAAGGACATTGTTTGGGCGTCGTGTGTCTCCCCTAACAGTCAGCAACAGGTTGAGGGCCTACCAATTGAAAGCGCAGCGTCCCTACACTGGACACAATTTGTTGCGACGTCACCGTAATAATCGGCGTAACTGGACACCTGTTCACCGTCGTAGGGCTTTACGACAATGGAACAATGTTTTGTTTTCAGATGAGTCCAGGTTTTGTTTGCAACACGGTGACAGAAGGCGCAGAGTTTGGAGGCGACGAGGGAAGCGTTTTGCGAACTGCTGCGTCGCAGAACGGGACCGCTTTGGCGGCGGAAATGTAATGGTTTGGGGTGGTATTTGTGGGGGGACTCGTATCAGGCTTGTTGTGTTAAATGGCAATTTAACCGGCATGCGATATCGGGACGAAATCCTAAGACCAGTGGTTCTGCCATTTTTAAGACGCCATAGCGTTGGCGCTATTTTTCAACAGGATAAGGCACCAGAGCACACCAGTCGCGTCAGCAGAACTTTCTTGCAGCAGAATAACGTACAGGTGTTAGATTGGCCATCTAAATCACCTGATTTGTCACCGATTGAGCATGTCTGGGACGTTCTTGGGCGACGCGTGAGAGAACGCCAAAATCAGCCGTCAAACTTACAGGAGCTGGCCCAAGCCTTGATCGCTGAATGGAACAACATCTCTCCTCGAATTATCCGCCGATTTACGAGTTCCATGCGACGACGCTGCAATGCTGTTTACTTCGCAAACGGTGGTCATACCCGTTACTAATGGTGTTACCTTTGAAATTGACCGCAACGTCCATTACAGTCGAATAAAATCAACTGAACGCAAAGTTTTATAATGAACCATGACTGCAGTTTTATCAGAATTTATCAATTACTTTATTCGTACATGATTGGTAAGGATTTATGAAGGGGTTAATTAATTAATCACAGAATAAAGTAGTGTTACCTCTCTTTTTTTGTTTAGTGTATGTATAAGGAATATTAAGGTATTACCGAACATTAGTATAATTACGAAACAGTTTTTACCTGCTGGCTCCAATAAACTGCTTTACCAAGTGTTCCGGAAGTTGTTGCATACCTTCTGATATTGTCATATACACGGGGAAGATATCCGTTTTTGGTATAAATTGTAGAACATCGGCGGCCGTAATATTAAACAAGTTAAATCTATAAATGTTAGCGACCAATTCAACAGCTTCTTCACTCAAATACTTTGCAAAAAATCCACTGATTCTGTGAAGAGAATAATACATTTGATGTTTAGATGCTTAATGATGTTTATTCCTGGTGTTCTACTTTAAGAGTTCCGTTTCCAATGTTACTTATATATTTATCAGTATGTACTGTTCAGAAAATACAAATGTACGGTATGATTGATATTCTTCTGCATTCATAAATTTCATAAACTCTGAAATTGATTGAATATCGTGGTATATTTTGGCTAATTTTTTTTTTATTATTTTTCTTTTTATTGACTAGCTATCTATCACATTTGAACATTAATAGAATTAGAAATCATAGAATGACGCAATATTATTAATTCATCAATAATTATGTATATAATTATTTCATATTGGTTTTACGTTTGGTCTGTCAACCTCACATGGTCATCTGATACAATAAAGGGCTGCTCCTTCTGTAAAGATGAAACGTCTCCACTAAAATTGGTTTTTTGAGTCAAATATCTGAAAACAAAATGAATATCAATATTCACATTTACACTTGGCTATGATTCAGGGACTATCCATTTCTTTGGTTGAGCTGAATCGTTAAGATAATTATTCAATGACAGCTCAACAGGAATGGAGTGTGGTTTGGCATACAAGGAAACCATGCAGTAGTCAGAAGTGCTGCAGTATTGGAAAAACGATATTTCCGAAATCTAGCAAAATTAATGCTCTTATTACCAAGTACGCCATCAAGTCACCCAATCTATTATTTGATCAAGACGACTAAATATTCAACGATTTCGATCCGTGAAAATGTCATTTTCGGGGATAACAGCCACGTTTACTCGCCTTTCTTCCATAATAATCAAGCACGCAAAAAATATTGAGATGTTGAAAAAAGCCCATCTACTAATCTACAATTTTACATCTTGTACTTTACAGACTGTAAACTGACATAATGTATGCAATTATGAATATTAAAGGCCATCTATAAACCATCAGTCAACTTCACAACCTTTTATGAAAATGATGAATAAATAAACAAACCTGTAGATTTCTTGTATCCCTTTCCCTTCATTTTGACGTAGATTATAAGGCACATGATTTTCACTAAAGTCTTTATTACGGAAATGTACTCCCCTCAGGAAAAGCATTGTCTCATCGGAAAAGTAATCTTGATTTCTAAATATTCCCGTCTTAAGCCCGAGTTCTTGTATTGTACGAGATAATATCGGATGGAGTTCATTGTTGAACCTCATAGCACCAAGCTCGATTGGAATGTCCGGTGCCTCAGGAAAGCGATACGTGTAGAAGCGGCCTCCAAGTCGGTCTGAGAACTCGTATAAACCTATATTTAATTCATGATGCCTGAGTTTCCAGGCCGCGTATGTCCCGCCAATACCACCGCCTACTACAGTCACATCATGACATACATCTGTAACAGAAACATCGGAATCATGTATGTCATGATTCTTTTCAGAGAAAAATCTATATAATTAATGGTTCGTTTTAAAACACTTTCCATTTTATTTTTTTCGATCGTCAACATCGATAATTGAATATAATCAGGAAACAGTTGATGCCTGGCAACATCTAGCTACAATACAAACATGCTGAGCTAAGAATTTGTATAAATGATTTCTGTTTGTTGACACATTGTTGACCTACTAAAGTTTCGTATCCTTTATCATGTTTCTACTGCATTAAGCACTTTTAAAAAGGTAAAATGTTGCATAGCGCGATCGTAAATCATGTTAAAATGTCATTTTATTTCTTTCGGATAACTCCAGAATCGATAAAAGAAATGTACAATATAAGCACAAGAAATATACACACAGTTCGGACAGCTTTTACTAACATGTTTTAAGATCACTTTATTAATCTTTTATATAAATACTATTATTTTCTTTTCACGAAATATGGAGGGGCCAACAGATGCTGAGAAGACACTATGTATAAATCTATCAATTTTGTTTTTCCTTGTTCATCATTTTGAAGAATTCCTTTACCAGATCGAAACTATTCCTTCAATTGCCACGGAGTAAGGCACTGTTCCGCAGAATGAATGTTACTAGTTTAATGAAACAAGATAAAATTTCGAAAGATCGTTTTTTAAATTCGAAACAAGGAAAAGAAATAAAGTAAGCACGCCGCTTTTTAGTAAAGGGTTCAGTAACACTGAGAACATATGAAACAAAGACAAAAACCAACAGAAAAAACCAACAAAGTGAAACCAGATGATCTGGACATCACCACCAATTATGGTCAAAGATTCCGTTCAAAACGTTTTTTGTTATTTCTGTTTTTCGGCATGACTGTTGATCATTAGATGATGCTGACATCAAATGGTTATATATTTTGTATGTACATATCAAGACAATTTCTTTTACCTCGATCAGCAAGAGACATCACCATTGTAACACAAAGCACAGCAAGAAGTGGGTTGCCGTCAACCATTTCCTTTGAACGATCTTTCCACAGAAATGCGCAAAATGTCTGTAAACTACAAAATTACTATTAAGATACTACTGTCGATTGTGTAATAACAACTCATCTATGGTATATAACCTATCGATATATATAGAAAAGGTGCACAGGTCTGTCCTGATTGGATATTTCTCTTGTTTATATTGACCCACTGATATATGTGTTTCAGTGTATTATTTATTCGTATATAATGCGTCATATGTTATACTGTTTTTAAGGCTAAGTGGTGTATTTAAATTTATGTATTGGGAACATTTGTTGTATCTAGGACTTATCTGGAATCTAGAATTCCTACAGTAGCGACATTAAATCTGTACGTGCAGTCCTTTATTGAATAATCGTCAGAGGTTCCTAAACTTTAGTTTTCAGCAAACCACGCATCATGAAACCTTGTGTTTTCTATCAGGTATAAGTAACTGGTGATATCTATCACGGAAATATTTGAAAAAAAATATTCAAGTGGTAGACATTGCTTTTGGATTTCTAATGAACGAAGTTCGCCAAGAACTGCAAGCTACATTTTAACTTATCCATATAGTGATACATTATGAGATATATTCAAATAAAACCTGGTAAATCTAAACACAATGTTCTTGCCCACGGCGTATTTTTCATTAGATATGTCATTTATCAAATATGTTGATTCCCTCATAGCTTAACGATATCGAAACAGATTTCTCGATTGGCCTACAGGTGGCGCTTCTGTCAGCAATATATTCCAATTGTAAGAGTAACCAATAAATATCAGGTAAAATCTTTATAAATTCACCAAAAATGTTGACAATTATACACGTTTTTACAAGCGTGATCTTGTGCAGTAAAGTATTGCTATGTAAAAACCTCCTCTGTTTAACAGTGATTTGTTATGGTATAAACAACAATTTACATCTAAAACCATCCCAGGTCAAGACAATACCAACAGTTTACATAGCTAACAGTCCGAGAGTACAAATATGCACCTCAGCGATCATCAACTCGCTAACTTATAAATGTTGAGTTTGTAAATTAAGGAGTTGATATTATAAATATCACCAATATTTTACACCAGAAATCTGTTCAAGCTAACATTCAACCATACTTTCAAAGTAGAAACACCCCTGAAAGTTTCTGTCATTACTGCAAGTGCATTGCATCCTAACCGTATAACTACAAACAAACGCTGCATCAACTGAACGTAGATGACCTTAGAACTTAGAAGTGGTGATATAATCATTATTCAAAATGTTAAGCTACGAGAGCTTTTCATGAAGGGTCCTGAATATCGTGAAACCTCGTCCGTTAATTGGAATGCGAATTTCAAGATACTTATGGATTCTGTTGAAACGTTTCCAGGGAATTGGCGAAACGAGATTATGCTGCGTTGGACTCACTTTCGGGGAGAGTTATGTCCATTCCGTTCACCATTCGTAAAATAATCTGCAACTTGAAATCGAAAATGAAAACAAAACACAATTCAGCTTTCCTAGATCCTGATGTTAAATCTACACTTCAAGATTTACATGACAGGTATGTGATTATTTCGCAGATAAGGCGTCCAATAACTTAATTCTTGTCTGCAAACATTACATTTCCTTATATAGAAGGGAATGGATTTGTTTGATAACGAAGGAGACCCCGCCTCTACATGATGTTTTCTTTCAAAAGGACGAAATGCTGATCTTGCCTCGTTATTACGAACCATTTTGATATCCTATTAATGATAAACATTTGGACCTCCCCCGTTTATAGTGGATCCCTAAACATCACAGGAATCCATATAAACAACGTTTTATAGCTTGCTCGTCTAACTGTTCAATCGAGCCTTTGTCTAAACTTCTAACAATTATTCTAAGTACCATAACATCTGGGTTACAGCCTTATTGTGATACTGTTTACTCTAAGAAGTGACTTTACAGTATCTTTAACACCTCTTCTGAAAACAAATGTCTCCTATTTGATAATTCCACGCAGTACACCACCATACCCCATTCTAAACTGAAGGAACGTCTTCGTTTTCTCGTCATGAAATCTTTCATCTCCAGGAAAGGTCGACGGCGTTATAAATATATGGTTATGAACTATACTGAAGCGTATTTCGTAAAATTTACGACCAAATCAAAAACGAAATATTCGGAGTACGAAATCATAAAAATGATCGATTTTCTGGTTGACCACAGTTTCGTCGAGTTTGGTAGTAGATCTTCCAACAGACTATTGGCATACCTATGGGAACAAACTGCGCCCTTCTGTTGGCTGACTTTTTTTTGTTTTTGTTTTCATAAGAGACTGAATTCATTGACTAGCTTATCAAAACAGGTCACAAAGATCTTGTAAAGTCGTTTAATTTCACCTTTAGATATATTGCTGACATCTTGTCTGTAAATAACTAGACACTTATTGACTACGTTCATCGTAAATATGTACCAGAACTGGAAATCAAAGATACCACAGGCTCTTCTACATCAGCTGCTTATCTCGATATTTTCCTATAACGAAACCAACTTGAACAACTTTCCATCAAGTTGTATGATAAACATGATGATTTCAAGTTTCCATTTCTGGATAGTAATATACCTCCATCTCCATACTATGATATGCAGATGTCACAGTTGATTGACCAAGGTTTATATAATGGGTGTCATAGAAGAAATAAGACGTTTGCTCTTCCGGAACACCTGATCTAATTATCCTTGTACTTTTGTTCAGGAATATCTGTGTAAATCTTTCATTTGTTCATATTTTGCATTGGTTTTATTCCATCTGAGTTTGGATTATTTGATAATGTTTATGTTTTCCTATTTTCTTGTTGTTTTCTCTCTGCCATCCAATTTAAAAGTATGCTGTTCAAAACAAGTGCGTTTGCGTTAAGCATTCATATGTATCAACAAAGAAGGAGTTTTCCCCAAAAAATCATTCGGGAACCATCCTGCCAATTAACCTAGATTTACCATTTGCTTTCGATCACTTTGGTTTTCCTCAGTATCCTCAAAATTTCAAAATGTAGGCCTTTAGTATCACTGTTGAGTACTAGAAGAAAAATTGTAAAGCTATGAACACTAAGTGTACAATTATTAAGCAATACATTATTCTGTGTTATGTAAACATATGGACTTTTAAATGGTGATGATACGATATGAATTCAATTTAAATTATATACAAGACTATGATATTAATTTACATATCCAGTAATTGAAAAGATTAAAATCGATACTGTATCTGTGTTTTACAATAATATTATTAACTAATTGATAATTAGTCCAACGTCCTGTACGCCTGTTAAATATGTAATCTCACTAGATATTCATATTTATATGATGTACATGCATACTTATTACTGCAATTTTATATAAATAACATCTGCTTTAAAGATTGTACAACATTTATAACAGACAGTAACAACTGTTACTACAAAATAGAAATTAGATACAAGGAATTAAAATGTATCATACAGCTGTTGGGTCCTTCAATGACTCGGCGGTGATGCTAATGACATGTTGTTAAAACAAAGGAGGTAAATAAGTATACTTAAAACTGACTGAAATAAATTTTAACATCGATATATCCATATATCTGGGAATTTCACTTGAATTGAAGTACTACCTTCCTATAATATAAACATCTTGTTATTTAAAATTTACATAACCCATTCTTAATCCACAGTGTAGTAGTGTGGTCTATGCGGTACGATTTTTGTTTTCCTCGTATCTAATTTACAGAAGGATTGGAAACAAATACTAAGTTAAAAATGTCATAATCCAAACTACAAACATGTGAGAAATCAAATATGACCCTTAACAATATCTTCACTGATACCATTGAAAACGCGTAAAGAGAATAAACGCGGTTGTAGCCCTTAGTCACATGCTTTGACAACATCCACCGTGACAATCCGTTTAATGTAACGTTCACAAGTATAAAACCATCACATTTCACCACCAAACAAACAATGAATACGTCTTAGTTTTATTACATAAGGAAATCAAACATTCCTCCTTAATATAATCTTAATCACGATCGTAATGCTTCGCCTTAATCTTTTTGCAGCATGTATCTCTCGAAACTCTCTCTTATAAACGTATCAACAGCTATCGATATTTACACGGAATCGAACTCATATCTGTAAACAGATGTTCTGTACCAGAATATTTTGTGTAAAGTAGTTTGATTAACTTTACTATGACATCCAGTATCCGGTTTATCAGATAATTTTATGAAAGAAAAACAGTCCCACAAACAATTCCCGCGTAAACTTCACAAATCCTAATTGAACACCTCTTGTTTTTTATCATTACGACGTATTACCACTAAATATTTCGAATCCCCAGATTGTCAAATAAGTCTCTATAGCTAACAGGATGACAGAGATATTACTTAAATTATATGACATGTTTTATCTTTATTTTTTTCTTTATTTGCGTAAACAATACATTTCTAAACTTTGCATTGTGTAAAATAATATACTGAATAACTACGTAACTTTATGTTATACTTATGAATATCCATGTCTAAAATTTTGACTTTTCTTGGCTATTCTTTTTTTCATAAGTAAGTATTATTTGAAACCTCTTCACATTTTTAAGGACTAACAAAATAACACTAGATAACTTTATTAAAAAATAAGTGTGGTTGGTGATTAGTGTCATTTCGCAGAACAAACGCGAAAGGTTGTATTATAACCCCTGGCGAAGTTTACCTTGTGTAGAAAACACTTACCCTTCCGGGTATCATTTTACGGGTATTCCTGTATTCCTATCTTTTGTTCTTGATTTGGCACACTGCCTTTTTGTTTGAATAAGTATTATCTTAACATTTCAGTATTTTTTTCGGAGTTTTATTACACCAGGTTAAGTGTAATTTCGAATTCAGTTGGCATCCAGTGTATTTAGGCTTTGAAATATTCTTCGCCTTTGCTGACCAAAGCTTGTACAATTGAAAAAGAAGTGATAAGCTTTCCCACAGTGATGACCACAGTTACACTCCGGGCTTTCTAT